GTGCTGGGATAGGGTGCTGAGTGAGAGCCGAGGAGGCGCCAGAGACGTGCTCGAGTGAAACCACCAGGGGGCGCCCCGAGAACTCTGGTTTAAATAGGGAGCGGGAGGCGCCGGGCAGCCAGTTCTCCAGGTGGCTCCTCACTCAGCCCAGCAAGCAGCAACCTGCCCTAGTGGGACAACCCTTTGGATTACAAAAGAAGCAAGCAAGCAAGCAAGCAGGCAAGAGAGAGACAGAGAGAGACACAGAGAGACAGACAGCCAAGCCATTAGCTTCTGGATCTTCAGCAGAGGCTTTGCTGCTCCCGAAAGACCTCGAAGACCTCCGTAGCCTCCTTCTTTCCCGCTTAGGTGTCCCGGGGCAGTGGTCGGGGCAGAGATGGCCAGCGGGGGTTTGCAGATGCTGGGCTTCATCCTGGCCTTCATCGGCTGGATCGGCATCGTGGTGAGCACGGCCATGCCGCAGTGGAAGATCTCCTCCTACGCCGGCGACAACATCGTGACCGCCCAGGCCATCTACGAGGGCCTCTGGATGTCCTGCGTCACCCAGAGCACCGGGCAGATGCAGTGCAAGGTCTACGACTCGCTGCTCAAGTTGGCAGGTAAGCCGCGCCCCGGACGGGTTCGCGTGGCCCGAATCGCCTGGCGTCTCGGGATGGAAGAGGAGGTGAGGAACGCCAGACCCACTCTGAGGGACCCCCTGGCACCCCGGACTCAGCAGCTGAATGGCAGGGTGGTGTGGATGGCTGGAGAGCACCGTGTTTTAGGTCTCTGATGGCTGGGAGTTCGATTCCCCTCTTGACAGGGGCTGGACTGGATAGTCTACAGGATCCCTTCCAGCTCTGCCGTTCTCAGAGGGTTAGCTGGCCAGAGACCTCAGGGGTTGAGGTCTCTGCCTGCGGCACAAGAGGTTGGGAGTTCGATTCCCCCCTTGGGCCTCCTTGACAGGGGCTGGACTGGATGATCCAGAGGGTCCCTTCCGGCTCTGCCGTTCTAAGATGATGATGATGATGATTGCATTAGGAACAGCCCTGTGAGGTAGACCCTGTCACTCCCATTTTACCAATGAGATGTTACAGCAAGCAGAGGGTGTGACCTGGTCAAGCTTTTTGAGGGAGCCCAGACAGGGTGGGGGGTCTGGTTGTCCTTCCTGGCTCCTGCTCCATTCCTGGTGAGTTTCTCACCAAGATGCAGAAGGAGGTGTTCTTCAGATTCAGAAAGAACATCCTTCTTGCTGTTCCAGTTCAGGATCCTACCTCGGTCTTTATTCATGCCTTTCTGGGTGGGGTCATTAATTAGGGTGATACCTGTTCTATGTCCTTGGTTTTGGCAGGGCGAGCCTCTGAGGTGCCCCGGGCTCCTTACGCTTTCTCATGACGGCGAGTCCTTGACGAAGGTCCACCTTAGCTACTCCGGAGCCCTTTCGAGCAGAAACTGAGATGTTCTCATCTAGGACAGAGAAGGTCACGCAGTTTTTCAAAAATGCTGTTAAAAGCACAGGGGCTGAGTAGGAGTCAAGACGGCAACCCCGCTCTTTTGCTCCCTCTGTGTCTTTGTGTGTGTGTGTGTGTGTGTGAGAGAGAGAGAGAGAGAGAGAGAGAGAGAGGGGGGGGGAGAGAGATATGGTGAAGCAATGATGTGGAAATCTGCCGATTTCACTTCTCACAAACTCACCACCTTGACCCATTTACTGTAAGTTCTCTGTAGGACTGAGCCAAACCCGAGAACAATGGCGATCCCAAGCATGTTAAATTTGTGAGACTATTGGCGCACAGAGATGTGGGTGGATTTTACTAAGCACTTTTCCTATGTATGCCTCTTTTCCCCCAAGTTTTTTCCCCCTCCTTCTTATTCACTATAACATGTTTGTGGGCATTTTTGAAACATACCTGTTTGCTTCAGGTGTTTTTTTTTTCCTTTTAAGACCTAACCCTCAGAGTCTCCTCCTGTCGAAAGAAAGGCTCATGCACTGTTAATATTATCTCACTGACGGCAATGTCAGATACGTTTGCCAAGCGTTCGGTTGGGGGTGGACTTTCTTTTCCAACCCTGCCGTAAATCTGCTTCTTTGCTGGGAGAGGTTCCTTCAGAACTGTAATGAAACCAGTCCTGTCTGCCTTTAGTGGATTGAATGCTACGCTTTTAAGCACCGGAGTCTCTCATAAGCGGAGTCTCTCATAGCAGACGCGATGTGGCATATTAATTTTTAGGACCTTTTGAAAGGCAGCATGCTGGGGCATATCATCAGAGCTGACCCAGCATGTCACTGTGGACATGTTTTCCCGAAAATAAGACAAAGTCTCATATTAATTTTTGCTCCAAAAAAAGGGCTTATTTTCAGGGGATGTTTTATTTTTTTCATGTACCACCATCAACACTGATTCAAAGACAGTCCTGTCCTTCTGGTTCCTGCACAAACGTGGAGGGCGGGGATTCACTGAACAGGGGCTTATTTTTGGGGTAGAGCTTATATTACGAACATCTTGAAAAATCCTACTAGGGCTTATTTTCAGGTTAGGTCTTATTTTCGGGAAAACAGGGCCGTCACCAGATGCTTGGTACAATTAAGGGACATCAAAAGGACCAAAACAGGAAAACATTGAAGAACAGCAGCAACTCACGAAACATTTGATTTTGCATTTTTTAAAAAAACTCCAGTTAGACTCATTTATTAAATGCATAGCCTATCTTTCCTCAACAGTGGGTCAAAGGGAATGTATATGGTGAAACCGATATATTAGTGTGTTTCGGATATTCGTATTTTTCTGTCAGCTTTGAAGAGGCAATGATATATCCACAGAGAGACACCAGAGATTTGTTTATTTAATACCAATATTTAAACAGCTGCATGACTCAGGGGTTTAGATCTCTGGCTGCGGAGCCAGACGCTGCAAGTTCAAATCCCCCCTTGGGCCTCCTTGGCAGAGGCTGGACTGGAGGATCCCACAGGGTCCCTTCCAGCTTTGCTGTTCTAAGATGATGAGGATGATTCGCTGCTTGTATACCATCCAGTACATTCACAGTGGCATTCGCTCCTTTGTTAGCATTGCAACCTTGCGAGGAAAATCAGGCTGAGAGGCACCGACCCCGGCTTGCAGTCAGACAGTACATTTCCCGGCTCCATGAGGACTTGAATTTGGATCTTCCGCGTCACAGCTCCCCTGCCTTGGGACGTTTTAAATGAGAAAAGTGGGGTTAAAAGATTTAAAATAAAACAGACAAATAAATAAATAAATACACTGGCCTTGGGCTTTTCGTACCTTTCGGGTGCTGAAAGAGGAAAATGATCCTTGGCTTCTTTTGGGGCACACCCCAGAACAGGGACACACACACACCAACACCGCTCTGAGAAACAGGAGCCCAGTTTTTGTAAGCGCCCGTGATCCGCGCACAGGTGGCTTTGAAATCAGCCGAAGGCATGGGAGTTCCTTCTGGACCGGCCCCGCCAAGGCATGCTTTGCCAGCATATGGAAGAGAGGGTTTTAGTCACTGTGGGAGTGGAACAGGCACACACACACACACACACACACACACACGTGGGCAGGCAGAAGAAGAGAAAGGCCCCCCGTCTGGTGTGGGCGCATGGGGAAGGGTGAGAAGCCGGGAGACCTTTTGTGCAATTTCTTGGAGAAAGCCCGCTGAGACAAGGGCATATGGAAGAGAGGGTTTTAGTCACACACACACACACACACGTGGGCACGCAGAAGAAGGGAAAGGCCCCCCGTCTGGTGTAGGCACATGGGGAAGGGTGAGAAGCCGAGAGACCTTTTGTGGAATTTCTTGGAGAAAGCCCGCTGAGACAAGGGACCGTCATCTCCGCCATGTGCCACGCTCAGCTTCGGGAACCCGGCACCATCTTTCTTGATAGTGTTTTCATGCTGTTCCTAGCGAGAACGAAGGGGGTCAGCTGGCTTTCTTGTTTACTTCATGGAGGGAACAGGAGAGGTTCCCAGCAGACCCACCCACACACCCGTCTCATCGCGACTAGAGCGTTTGGATATCTAGGCCTATGGCCCTATTGGGAGGCCGGAGGGGGTCGGGTTGATGCTCTGTGGCAAACTTGCCATCCGCCTCTCCCTGAATTCCTCTTCGCTCGCAGGAAAGAGTTGCTACTCATGGAACTGCTGGGATGTGCAGAAGACTTTCGAAATGGCACAATGGCTGTCAGAGCTTGGGAAAATTACTTTTGTGGGCTGCAACTCTCAGAACCATCCTACCCCCAGCATCCTGGGAACTGTAGTCCAAAAATGTGGCTTTTCCAAGCTGCGCCTCTTACTTCTTTGAGGTTGCGAGTCCTCACTCTGCGTCCGAGGGACAGGGGTGAAACAGGGCCCAGAGGTGGCTCCAGGGGCAGGACCACACATGTAGCCAAGTCACCTGGCGTGCTAACCTTTGAAATGTGGAACGGCCGCTCCGAAGTGCCGGTCCCAACCTTAAGGTGCGTCTCAGTCTTCCAGTCTAGCTTTCATAAACCGTGTGGATTGCAGGCGGTGTGCCTCTGGAAGTGATGGGTTTCATGGGGGAAGGTGATTTGTAGCCGCATGAAAGCATACCGAGTCTTCCTTTCTGTCTCCTTCAATACTTAATCTTCTTTTTTTTAATGAAGAGGCGCAGAGCTTCAGCTGATTGAGAAGTTGTGTCTTTGAACTGGGTAACCCACACCCTTGGCCCCGATGCCTCTTGAAGGCCAGGTTGAGGATGGTTCTTCGGCATTGATGGAAAAGCACTCTTTTCTTGCTCAGGGGCCCTCTTGCACACACCTCGGCTGCTCACTCTCAGCTTCCAGGACTGAGTTTTGGCACCACATAAAAGATTTAGCGCCCCGGCTCTAATTAAGCCCTTCTCCCGGTGGAAAAACAGCTCAGCCGTTCCAAAGGCGTCAGAAAAGTATATCTGTTCCAGCTCTCTTGTCTGTAGCTGGTGCTTTAATCTGATTAAAGAGCTTGTTTCGCTCAGCGAAGCTCTTTCAGTTTCCTGCTGGGCTCGGCCTGAACCGGTATTTCGATGGTAAAGAGCTGGCAAATGCGCTGTGACAGGAGGGCGAGGAAAACGTCAGCTGCGGGTGCCGGCAACTGTTGTTGTAAAAACAGAAGAAGGCAAACTCCATCTTAGACATAATTAGAAAATAAAACTGACAACGTGATAGCTAGGGATTGAAGACCCCCGGTTGGTTTTGCTTTTTATCGTATTTCCATTTGTCCAGTTTTTAGAAATATTGAGCTGGGGGCAGGGGGGGGAAGAGTCCAAAGTCCCACCTGTGCATAATATTATCCTTGCTCTCATCAATGGTGTAACCACGCTTAGAATTCTGTATGTTGTTCTGGTTAGGTCCTTGCACCCGGAAAAGGTTGGTGAGAGATCTGGAAAAGATGCAAGAAGGGCAACCCAAGCCTATTATAAAAAAAGGAAGCAAGATACAGGGTGTACCATAGGTTGTGGGTGGTGTGGCAAAAGGAAATGGGGAGAAAAGTTATTCTTCTCTTATCATTTAGGATCCGTACGACAGGGTCACTCTGTGAAGCCGAATGGTGGGAGATTCAAGACCAAAAAACAGGACATGCTTGCTTACGCAACACATCATGAAACTGAAAAATTGATTAGT